TCGATTGGCTTTATTGGAAGATTCATGCTGACGCTGTTTCCGAGGCAATCTCCTTCGATTCCGATGAAAAAGTGCTAAGTTTTCGTCCGTCATATGACTGACTCGTTAGCTTGAATTTTGTTGTGACGATGATACCTCGTTCTGATGATGTCCGTCATATGACGCACAAAATCACCGGAATCGAAGGAGATTACCCCGGAAACAGCATCAGCATAAATCTTCAAGTAAAGCCAATCAACAACTGGTCAAGAGGAATTCGCCGTCGTCTTCTGATGGAACCGACCTTCGGATCTCTTCACCCAACACTTTCACTCGTAATGGAAGTAAGCTCAACAATAGCGATAGATCCATGGTCCAGGAGTGTCCTTTTTGCTGGTCTTGCTGTATCTCTGTTTTCCTCAAGTTTGCTTAAGCAGTAGGCAAAGTTGTCGCCATCTCTACCTTCCTCCAATCTGCTGTTCATTAGATTTTTCTCCCCAAGGATGTCACTGGCCTCCCTAACCTTCCGCTTCCTTGTGTTGTCACCGTATGGGGCCCTTCTTTCTGTTGACTTCAATTTGATCTCGTGTCCAGTCTGTGGGATGTTTCAGCTAATTCTGATCTTTCGGTACCCCCTTTCTTGCAGAGCCTTTGATGTCCCTTGATCCGTATGCTAATTTTTCTCCCTGTTTCACCAATATATTTCTGTTCACAGGCGCCGCATGATATACAGTAAACTCTTTAACAATCCAATTTATCTAACCTTTCATGTTGCGTCGGTAGACTTGTGAAAAGGGTTGTTTTTTTCTTTTATTGCCACCCGAATATTCCATTCCCTTAATATTGGCCGTAGTTTTTGAGTTAGCTCGCAGGGAGATAGGCATATTCACTTTTGTAAATTATTCTCCGTCCTTAATGTCCTTTCGTAGTCTCCATTCTGCCATCGGCATTTCGCGGCATGTATGTTTCGTTGTATTACTTCGCTTGAGTAGCTGTTGCAAAGGACTATCCTAGTCGCTTTGTCTAATTCTTCATCCCGTTAAACTCAGGCCTCGAAGGATCATGCTTTTCATCATTCTCATATTTAGCCTGTAATTGCGGTGGTACTGGAAATTAAATATTTTCCCAGTCTAAGACTCCTTTCTAAACAATTTATTTTTCAGCGCCTCATTAGAGCGAGTCACTTAAACATCCAGGAAAGGTAACAACTCACATTCTTCTACTTCCATCGTGAATTTAATTTTTTCACATATCTGATTTACAAACTTCAGAAAAGCTACAAGTTTCTCTCTTCCATGTGACCAAAGTGCGAAGTAATCATCCAGGTACCGCATGAACACTGCCGGTTGTAACTGTGCCATCTTGAAGCTCTCTTTTATTTTGTACATGTATACGTTTGCCAAAAGTGGTGAGAGCGGTGATCCCATGGAAAGTCCAAATATTTGTTCATAGATGTTCCCGTTGAATGTAAAATAGGCTGTTCCTATTGTCAAGTTGATTAGTCTGGTTAACGACTCCCTACCGATCCGTTGTGATTCGAGGATATCCTCTTCTCGGTCCAGCATTTCCAGCAGGGCCGTTAGCGAATTTTCTCCAGAGATATTTGTATACATCGATTCTACATCGAAACTTACTAATAAGTCTGTTTCTTCAAGTGCCATGTATTTTATTTTTTGAGAAAATTCATATTAATGCTTCACTGTGTTTGATAACCTGTCATTTAATTTCTTAGATTTCAAAAATATGAACCTTGCCAATTTGTGTATTGCTCCATACTCGTTGTTGACTATCTGCCTTAGCGGTTCACCTTCTTCGTGTATTTTCGGTAATCCGTAGGCTGTTGGTAGCCATGCAGCTTTTCTTATGATTGATTTTTTTGTCCATGTGTCGATTTCCCCGTTTCTTTGTTATCTTTCAGTATGTCACTTAAGATACATAGT